CTTACAACAAATTATCTAGACTATCTATTTTTAAGATTTTCAAATATTTATAGACTTGTTTGATCTGCTTGATTTTGGGAATTTTAAATTCATAATCAAGCCTATTCATGGATTTTTAAGCCATATTAGGTTTATGACAATGAAACTACATCTTTTGGTAAAATTTAGAAATGTTTTACGTGTATCGTATAAAGTGGGGCACCTTATACAAGCCTCACCCTTTAATCGGTAACATTGGGACGGTTTTTGTGCACCCTTGAAGCATTTGCATCACATGGTTGGACAGGATTTCTATGAGGCCAGCCCGTATATTGTGGAAATACGGGCTTGGCAATAAATATATCTTTTAAACATAATACGATTTTAAGTTTTGGAGAATATATAATCTTTAATATGGAGATTAAGAATATGAAAAAAAAAAAACAAAAAAAATTTAGAAATAATGATTATATTAAAAAAGCATTTAAACCGTTAGTTACAATTGTTTTTAGATGGACCACCTATTTGCGTCTCCTTAAGATGGATGCTTTATACCTCGGGGGACCGCATATTGTAGAAATGTGATCCAGCCCGCCTAAAACAATTTTCCTTTTCTTAACTCAACAATGTGTTTTTAGGCAATAATTGAGGATCCGTATACAATGAGATTGATGAAGGTATTGTACGGTTTCACGTATCCAGTAGTGTCACACTGAATTTACTACAGGGAGCTAAACCCTAGGCATCCATTGTCACAATGGACTGCTTAAGGTGTGTTATTTTTCTCTTACGTAGTTCTTCAAATTATTCCAGCCGGTTGAAGTCACGAGCGTGTAGTTAGGTAGTCGTGGAAGTTAGGGCAACAGGGCGGGCCGGGGTCTAGGCTAGACCGGTCCTAACCCTAGCTTAGCCCTAACAGAGTTAAATAGGCCCTTGCTTGGGCACAGTCCTGGCTCTGTTAGGGCACAGGGCCAGGCTTGACCAAATCCAAGCCCTTCTAACCCTCGGGCCATATTTTGTCGCTCATCCCATTGTTGTTTTTGGGCTAAGCCAAGCCAACCGGCCCATTGCCGGCCCTATATGGCATTTCATATGGAACATTCATTGTTCTCGTTGTATATTTCAAAGCAATGGTTTAAAAAGCGGATAGGTGACCTGGATCGGACATCCCAAAAATCGATCCCGATCGGCGAATGGGCTATTCGGATCGAGAATCGGGTCGAATCACTCGGATTAAGCCTTAAAAAAATTCAAAAAAATTATTAAAATTCATTATAAATATTATTTTTTAGGAATCCAATAAGAAATGGGGGGACTACATTATTAACTTTCATTGTTTTCATCAATTTATGAATATTGAGATGTTCTTTCCCTGTATAAACTTATGTTGACCATTAAATTTACATCACACAAAAGAAATCATAGAATTATCATGGATTAATTATATAATCATATATGGACTACAATAAAGAGTTGACTAAATCAATGAAAATTTGGCCATTAAAATCTCGAATTGGCAGAAAACCCTAATCCACTAAAAAAACCCAAATTATTACAACCTAACTAACTATAATATTATATACCAACACCACCACATCGCATGATGTATTTCATTAGCAACTATAATATAATACATATTGAATCATCTTGCTTGAATGGCTTTTTGTGGGAATTATCCCACATCGAAGGATGAGAGACCTTTTGTTCTCTATAAAGTGTTGTGTACTAGTCATTTAGGCACATGTATAGAAAAGTGAAGGGGGCATACGAGCGACGTGAATTGCCACGTGTGTGAGGTTTTTAGGTGCTACGTGTCGCTCTCGTGAGGCGGCCACGTGTGAACCCAAAAATTTTCAGTGTGTAGGGTTTTTAGGTGCCACGTGTCGCTCTCGTGAGGCGGCTGAACCCAAAAATTTTCGGTGAGACTCGCGATTTACTATTGGGAATCTTCAGGAATCGCCCGGTTCTCTTTGGACACGGGCGATTCCCAATTTTTTCGTGGAACCGGCTCGGTAGCCGACGATTCCCGAGTCGAAGGCGAGTTTTCAAACACTGCTTCAAAGTACGCTGGATATTTTAATGGGCAACTATTTGGTTAAGTCGTCAAAATAGTTAGGAAATGTAAATAACCATCAGAGCGTTAAAACATACTAAATTAGATCTTTCACGATTAGGTTATAAATAAACTAGAGTTTCAACGATGGTGCTTGTCATTATATTAAATAATTTCTTCTCCATTCTTCTTATGCAACACGCCATTGGTGATGGTAACCTCAAAGAAAAAAAAACAAAATAAAAATAAACGAGCCGGAGATGTATAGTCCGTCGAATTTGCCCTAAGTTCCAAAATAAGATAACGAGGTTCCCCATCAAAGGTCTGTGGAACAGTTCTTTAAAGACCGAGCCATTGAATCGAATCGGTCAGCCACCGGTTCGAAGCCCGCTCGGAACTGCTTGAGCTGGCTCATCGATTCTCAAGGGTTTTCTCCAGTAATTTTAAAACATGCCGGGTTGGCACATAATCGTCCGGTCTGATCCCAGAATCGGTCACCCGTGCCGATTCTGTCAATATAGGAAATCGCCGGTCTAGTGATTTGATATAGTAAAATGGCATTTCTAGTCAAAAAGTTGTTTTGCTGCATGCCTATTCACCGATCTGGATCATTTTTTATGACTGTTTTTGCACGTTTTTTGTCATCGATTCACTAATTTTTTTTCTACACAGTAAAACAGCAATCTGGACCAGTTTTTTCAATGCCCAATCTGGGCCAAAGATCCGTTTTTTAAATCACTGGTTTTCTCTAAGCCGGCTTCGAGACTTTTAAATCATTGCTCCAAGTATCTAAAGCACAGCTTGATCTTCTAGAAGAGTGAGGCTTTGGGACTCAAATTTCTCATAAATAGATGCTTTGTTTCTCAGTATGTGTTAAGGTCAAGTTGAATTAGGTGACCACCACTATCAAAGTGGCCGTCATTATCGTTATAAAGCCGTGCTAAGACTGAGTTGCTCAAACTCGACATGGCATTTGTGGTTAAACACAGGAGGCAGTGTGTGGAGTGAAAGTATAGTATGATCCAAATAACCATAGGAATCAGTGGCCATAAATGTCGCCATCAATCATTAGATGGACGGTGATGGACCGTGTTAAAGCGCATGAATCATAGAGTACTTCCTTCACCAGGGAGCAGGGTTCATCCTCTTAGACTCACTTTTTATGGTTTATTAATCCGCGTTTCTGGGGTTAGGTGAGTCTCTTTCTCGAGGGGAAAGTCAATATCTTGATGAACAAAGAAATATATTTACATGAGTTAGAGAATATGTTTAAGGTTGGGGCACCTAATCTCTCCTAAGACGGAAAGAAATACAAATAAGAAAGAGATTTAAGGGTGTGTTTCGATCTCTGATAGTTTACCTTTCCAATAAAATTAAATTTTATTGAATTATCTATTTTATGACTGTATCCACTATAAAATAATTTTGAGATTAATTTATAGGTTCTCTTTATGAAAAAACTAGTTTTATTTAATCAAAACAATTTGTTGAAAATCACATGTTTTTAGTCAATAATAACTAAAACTAACTGAAAATCATAAAAAAAAAAAAACGGTAAATAGCTAAGCCTATTATATGCAATACACAATATGTACTAAATAGTTAATAAAATAATATTATACATAGCATATTAAGTTCATATAAGATAGTCTATTCTTAATAAGAGTATACTGCAAAGAAACAGAAACGTGAAACTAGAACATGATTAGAAAGAAGAGAAGAAGGGAACTAAGAATAACATAAATTGGAAACCATAACAAATTGATATGGGGACAACATGCGGATGGCATAAAACCAACTTCCCCAAAATAAATATTGGCATTATTTACCTCACAAACAACTTCAAACTTAACACAGTGACACTTCAAAATCCAAATATAGATGAACAAATAGCATTCCCAAATCTTGAACAAGTCAAGACCCCCCAAACAAAAAGGTTAAGAACCTAAGACCCAAACTTTGATCTTATCTCCTTCACAAAACCCCTATCAATTCGAAAGGCCTTTGCTAAAACCTGATCAGGAATCGAAGGCTGTGCGCCAAAGAGCGACGTCGAGGCTAACACCACGCCAGGCAACTGGCTATTAAAAGCTGTTACGGCTGAGGCCTTTCCTTTCCCTACATTTTGCTGAAAATGCACCAGCCCTCTAGGGATCACAAACAGTTCTCCAGGTCCTAAAACTTTTGAATATAGCACATTACTTGTGCTCACAAAAGCCACCAGGATTTGGCCCTTCACTACGAGCACCATCTCGGAGGCTCGAGGGTGAGAATGAGGTGGGTTTAGGCCTCCAATATCGAGATCCACTCTGTTCATTGAGATACCAAGAGTGTTTAGACCAGGAAAGCTCAGAACATTGCCTGCTGTGACTTTTGATCCCAAGGGGTTTGAAGTGTTTCCTCGATGACTAAGCCTTTTCGATACGAAATCGTCGACTGTGACATTGGAGACAAGTTTGCATGGGAACCCATTGCCTGATTGTCCAGGTTTATTGAGGTCCGCTACGCAGAAGTCCTGGAGGGGCTCGGGGTCTGCGAAGGCTGCCAGGGGAGGCAATGCTAGGATCAGGTAGAGTAAGAGGGGAGAAGCTGTTGGCCAATATTTCCTGAAAGCCATCTCTCTCCCTCCTTCCCTCCTTTCCTTTGTGTATATGTTATGCGTGTGCAGGTACATTTAGAGCTCAATTGAAGTTTCAGCGGGTTTGCTTGGAAATTGGGCTATCTAAGTTCACATCCATATCCATAGCATATAAATAATGAAGTTGAACCGTCTCAGAAAAGTCCCTTACATAAAACTATGACCAATTCACCTAATTGAAGATATTTAAAATGTAAAATTGACTAGGTTCAGTTATAGCAAAAACAAAAGTAAATTAACATTAACTAGTTTTGGGCACCATGTGTGTATAAGGTTGAAAGTTCAAACAAATGGAGAAGTCAGGAGTTTTGCGTCACATAAGTCGAAAAATAAGGAAAGTTGGTAATGGGGTTAACCCTATGAGGTTCTTCTTTCTCCCTTTCCCATTTTCTATTGGCCTGTAACCCCTTGCAAAACCACAAAGGTGTTTACACTTCCCAATGGATATTAGTTTTTACCTTTTCATTCATATTTCATTTGGGTACCTCATCGGAAATATCTTTAGAAATACTTCTTGTTCCGCGTTGAAAATCTTAAACAAGTGTAGGCATTTTAGCAATTTAACCCAGGGTGTGACCAAATGAAGTTAAGTACGTTACTTATTTTAGGCGAGAGCCACATACCAAGACCTAGTAAAGTGGTAAGATGATCAAAGCAAAAACGTGTAGTGTTTAATTCTCTTCTTTCTTTTTTTAATGTTGACCCATTTTTATTCACTATAGATGGGAGCGAGTAAAGCGGTAAGATGATCACAGCAAAAACGTGTCGTATTTAATACTCTTTTTTCTTTTTTAATGTTGACCCATTTTTATTCACTATAGATGGGAGCGAGTACAGTGGTAAGATGATCAAAGCAAAAACGTGTCGTATTTAATTATCTTTTTTCCTTTTTTAATGTTGACCCATGTTTATTCACTATAGATGGGAGCGTGTGGTAGCTTAAGCAAGGAGCTAAGAAGAAAAGAATCAGTCATCGCAATTCAGCCCTCTACCCTCTAAATGACGATAATCACAATTCAAACAAACTGTACTTCCTGGCATTAAGAAGCTCCACCTAAGAAATTGTTTTGGCGCAAGACAACCAGATATATGGATATGAAATCGTTCACCTTGTAACATGTTATCGGGATCTTCTATTTTCAAGATTCAATTGTTTATAAATCTTCTTGATGGGTATCATTTTTTGGTACTTTAAATATGTTAATTTGTGGTAAAAATAGATTGTCATGTAACAGTAAGGTTTTTGGTGCTAAAACTGTATCTTCAAGAAGGTCTTTACTTTGATTGTTTAAGGTGGGCACCTTCTATGAACCTTCCCCTTCACATTTAAAGTTTCATCTCCCTAAGTCTCTCATCGATTGAATTCCTTTTTGAGTTTTTTTCTTTTTCATAATTTGAGGGTCCCTCAAAGCTCTGTTTTTTTTTTTCTTTGCAGGCAGTCATCAGTAGTTTCAGAAGTCGCAATGTTCGTGGGGAATGGCCGTTCGGGCACGGCATACGTAGCATGGATCATTGTATAAACTCAGCATTTGTTGGTGGTCTCGCATGCAAGGACTTAAATGCCCTTGAAATGAAATTAACCCATTCCTCACTTAAAATTTGAGCATTTGCCTTTGGTCCTTGTACATTTGTCGCAACTAGGCCATGGATGACCTTTTACGTTGCATGGACGACCATCGTTACTCAAGATCTAGAGAGCTTATTTTAAAACCAGCCTATCTTCGACTCGGATCGTCGATTTGAATAGGAAGCGGCCAAGACTGAATTAGTTCCATGATGGTATTCGGTCCTGGTGTGGTTCCCCACTCCAAAAACTCTCATTTCAACTTTATCTTATTTCAGTTATTTTTAAGTATTTATTTGGTTTACCGATTCAGATCGATCCAAACCCAAATTTGAATGCCGATCCAATAATCCAACACAAATGTACAAGCAAATGATCCACCCTGATCTAGGTTTTGAAAAAAGGGAAAGGTTTTTATGCTTCTCATATAGCATAGAAGTTCTATCCTCCACCTACTTTCCAGCCGTCCAATTTTGATCAAGAGAGCCACTCACCGTTTGATCTTAAATCCAACATCTCAAAGTATTTTATTTTTAGTTTTTTTTATACAAATTGTATGAATATAAAATTTGGTACATGCCATCTTCTCATTGGGGCGCACCTATAAAAAATATTAAAAATAAATTTTTGATAAAATACAATGACCAAAATTCCCCTTGAAGATTTTAGGGGTATTTTGGTCATTTTATTTTATTGAAAATAATTTTTTTATATTTTTCACTAGTATGAGTTTAATAGAAGAATGGACGCCCAAAATTTGGTATCAAAATAGTTTATAAAAAAAATTAAAAATAAAATAGTATAGAGATTTGACATTATGATTGAGGCAATCTTCACCCTCCATTCAAAATAGACGGTTGGATAAAAAAGAGGATAAAACTTTTATGTTGTAGGGGATGCATAGAAAGCTTGCCCTTAAAAAAAAAAAAATGGGAAGCTAGAGTCTAATAAAAAAAATGGGAAGCTAGAGTCTAATGTGTGTTGGATGAGATACATTGGGAGGCCCACTTTTCACCCATTTCAAATAATCATCTTTAAACAAAAGTCAAAGATTTTGGAAGCCCAAATACACAATGGGTGCTGCTAATGGAGGCCACACGGTAGAAAAGGGGCTGGGTTGGTAGTACCCCCATGCTTAGTCGCGTTTTCAAATCCCGTTGACACTACCCATTTACACCATAGAAAAGCTTAACTCTCTATTTTATATGAGAAAAACTGCAAGGGCATGTCTTCCCCACTGAATTATCCAAAAAAGCCTTGCGCTTTCACTAGTACAAAACTTTCAAAACACTAAATTAGAAGGTGGAAAATGTAGAGTTTAATGAACAAAAGGCTTAGAAGATCGGCTAGGACCTGAGGATTACTATATTAGAGGATGCAATTTATGAGGCCTAGACTTTATGAAAATAATGTAAATCTTAACTTTGTATCCTCATTCAGAAAACACTTTGGGCATAAAAAAATGGTCATTGATGGTTCTAAAAGTAATCCAATGTCGATGAAAATTGAAACTCAAAAAATAGTACAGATCTTGCAGATCCGTGAACATTTATTTTTAAGGAAAAATTGATGGTTTAGATAATTTGTTACAAAATAAACTATTTTTAGGGTTTGCAATCCTATTTTTTTTTCACAACCATAACGGTCAAGGCTGAGCTGAATGATTTGAAAGTTTTCTAACTCTAGAATTACAATTTTCAATGAGTTTTGAGGAGAGGCTTTACTTATTTTAATAGAGTTGCAGCGCTATCAAACTATTTCCCATTAGAGAATATGGGTCATCTCAAGAGGAAACACTTCGGCAAGGCATAATAGGGAAACTAGTTGGTGGTACTTCAAGACCTTTGCCAACATATTTTTTCTCACGATGTATTCTTTTTATTTTCATTTTTTTTTTAAGGTTGTTCAGTTGTAGGAATCAAACTTGAGATATAGCGCCACTAATTGTCTGTTGCTAACCACTCAAGCCCAAGCTCAATTCCTATAGGGGATGTACTTGACTTGAAAGTAATTATTCTCATCATCTTTCTTCATTATGAATATTTTAAAAGAAATTGATTTGGACCTCAAAAAATACTCAAATCCAATCTCACTAGAGATTGACATCAAATTGTCCATTTGATGGACCACCATATCTAGGGTTTAAAGTTTGTTTTAAAGCTCAGATCGGTGGCGGATCATCCACTCTGCATATCCATATTGGATCGGTGATCCGCAGCAGTCTGAATTGATCCGAATTGATGATCATAGAAAACTAAAAACTAAAAAGAAAATTAAAACACAGGTTTATGAGGTGGGGATTTAGTGCGGGACTAAGAGAATGTGGGGTTTTAGGAGGGGTGTAGGCTGCGACCTGTACCTCTCAGGACCGGTTCAATCATGGTTGATGACCAGTCGGGTTGGTGGTTCTCAATCCGGATTGCAGGGTTTTAAAACACTATTTTAAAGGCTATACATAGTTTTTGTCTTTGGAAATTTCTCTCAAAGGAAATCAAATATGATTAGGAAAATTTCAAATACAAGAAAAAAACTCCGTATTTTGGGTTCAAGATCGTGTACTTCAATGGTTGTGAGAGACCACCCTAGCAACACCCAACATTATGGCATATGCTTAATTAAATGATGAGCTAGCCAATTGACTCAACCACTACATGGAGTGGTCCGGATCTGATCCAGATTGGTGGGAATCATTAGATAAATAAATGAGTGTGGTTTTTATAAGGTTGATTCCTTAACAATCCTCACCTTCAAATTTTATCATAACATGTAATTTTGGTGAAAACATTCTTAGGATTATCTCAAAATCTATTTTCATATCTAATTATAAAATTTTATACTCCAAAAATGGTTAAAATCAAGTAGATCTATAGACATATGCAAATATTGAAAATGGACGGTCTAGATAATGTACTGCAAGATGCACTATTTTTCGGACTCAATTATATACATACATCGCGATGTCGAGATGATCAATTAGAGGTTTTTTTAACATTAAAATAACCTTTCTCAATGGATTTTTTAGGTGCATCTGTAATTCTACATTTTAAGGTTGCAACCTTATATAAACTTTTTCCTTAATGGATAGATAAAAAACATTAGGAATTTGGCTAATTTTGGGGGGATATTTGGTAATTGAGAAAGTTGTATTCCTAAAGAATCTCTAAGAAACTAGAAGCTTGAGAAAAATATAGATGTAGAAAACTCTGATAAGAAGCTAAAAATACTTATTTGTAACTCTGTCTGTGAAAATTGGAGAAAGCTCAGACTAGAGCTTGGACAAAGAGAGATAGAGAGGGGAGAGAAATTGTGAGGTTAGAGAAATATAAGGGGGACAATGGGATTTCACGTTTCCCATTTTCCTAAGAAATTGATAGGGATGCACTGCAGTTTTTCCCAAAAAAGGCAAAAAATATATAAACATTGAGAAATATGGGGCTCCGTGTTTCCACACAATTTCTCATTTCCAAATGGGGGAAAATGTGGTAACTATAGAAAAGGTCATTTTCTCATGTTTTGTCAGTTACCAAACAGGTCATAGGTGTTCATAGATTACATCCCTCACGCACACACTGAG